CACACACACACACACACACACACACACACACAGTCCCCTCTCCTCCCTGTAGGAACTACTCATGTTTAAGATGGGGCTTATGCAGGGGTGAAGAAGGCTTGTTCTTCATGAGCCAGCCCAAGGGGCACCCGACCCACTCTGGGCTCAGGAGCCCTTCGTTTCTGCACCACACGCATAGCGTGGATGGGAATGATGGAAGGAAGGAGGCAGTAGGGACCCTCCCCATCCCGTCACCTAGGGTCCCCCCACTCGACGCCCCGGTCCAGGTCCTGTGAAAGCATGGTAGCCAGGCCCAGTGTGTCTCCCTCTGAAGTGGGTCCTGGCCACCCTGCTCCTCCCACCAGCCCTGTAGCCTGTTCAGAGCCTTTACTGCTCGTAGGCCTGCCTCCCTGGGACAGGGGGCTCCTGGAGGGCAGGCCTGGTGCCTGAATCACCTCCAGGCTCCGGCGCCTGGCCCCTGGCCGGTGCTCAGCAAACGCTTCAGAGTGACAGGAACACCCACTTGGAAAGGAGAAGGAGAAAAGAAAAATGAAGCAGAAAATGAGAAAGGGCAGCATCCCAGGGGACATTTAGCTGTCACAGGGTCCAGAGAAATGGCCGCTCTGACAAAAAAGGTGACAGAATGGCGTGGGCCACCAAAAGGAATGGAAACATGAAGAGTGAATTCGCACAAAACCTGTGTGGCGTGATGCCCTCCTCAGACTCCCTTACTGCTCCCCGGAACCCTGCTGGCATCTGAAGCCCACTGAGGAGGCCAGCTCAAAGTGCGGATACCACCCTCCCCAGACCCCAAGCCCTCCTTCCCCTCCATCCTCACCGGCAGCCTCACGGGGCACCAGGGCCAGAGCACCCTCCATCCTGGGGAAGGTGGCGGTGGGGCTGGGCGAGGACTGGGGCCAGCATGCAGACGAGAAGGTCCCCAGAGCAGGCTCTGTGGGTGGGACCTCCACAGGCTGTGGGACTCCTGGGGGCCCTGGTCCTGGCTGCTGTGGGCACAGCCCCTCGGTGACAGTTTAACGTCACTGCTGCTTCAAGAGGAGTCTGTTATCATTCTGTGGTGACAGACACCAGACAAAACATTCCCACCAATGTCACCTCATTTCATTCTGACAACATCCTTGAGGGGGTAGTCATCGTCACCCCCATTTTACAGATGGAGAAATTGGAGCACAGAAGTGGTAAAGACCTCTCCGGGAATCCTACAACTACCAAGAAGCAAACCCAGGTCTCTGAAGCTCCCGTGTGCCCAAGCTTTCCCAGGAAGAAAATCAGGGGCAGAGACTGGAGCCGAGCCACAGAAAACACCAGAATTGGAAGGACCCTCTGATTACAAATGGGGAAACTGAGGCCTGCAGAGGTCAAGGTCTCCAGTCGGTGAAGAGAGATGGCCAGAACTGAGCCCCACGCCATTTTTGTGGATCTCCCAGACTCCCAGTTCGGGCTCTTTGGGACTTGGTCCTCTTACTGCCTTTGCTATTTCCTTGATCAGAACTGACTACGTTAACTCCAAATAACAGGCTCCAGGCACCTGACCAGAGCCAATGCATTCTCCGAATGGTCACAGCACCAGCCTTTTCTGCTTGGGGCCCAACCTGCCCTTTCCTTCCCACAAGGCCTCTCTGAGCTGAAGACAAGAAGGTGTCACTGGAACCTGGTCTGTGTCCCAAAGACAGGACAGAGCAGCTCAGCTCTGATGCGTCAACCCTTTAGCAAGCTGAGGGTGGCCTGAGGGATTGCAGCGAGCCCCTGCAGAGGTGTGGCCACCTAGCCTCTGCCATGCCCCTCACACCCAGCAGATACTAGGCTCTTGATAAGTATTCTCCAAGTGACTAGTGGGAAGACCTTAGACATGGAGTGACCTCATTTGGACCACCTGGACCCTGATGACCGGCTTCTGGCTCATGTCTGAAGACGGGTGGCTGGGGACAGTGCAAAACACAAAGGGACAAAGTCCAAATACTAAGGCTTTTACCCCTACTCATATCCCGGGAGCTGTGTGACCCTGAGCAAACCCCTAACCCTCTCTGGGCCTCATCTGCAACATAATTCTATATACGTAATTGGTTGGGTGTATGCCACGCGTTAGAAAAACTTTTCCATGTACTGGTTCATTTAATCCTCACCACAACCCAAGAGGTAGGTACTAGGACCCCATGTTACATATGAGTAAACAGAGAGAGAGATGAGAAGAACTGTGGCAGAGCCAGACTTGGATGTCCGTTTCCCCCACTGGCTTGGGTGGCTGAGATTCACAGGGATCCTAAGGACGTTCTGGGGTGGGTGCTCGCTTGGCTGTCCCTACCATGTGCTTTTAAACCATTTGCTCATGAACTGAGGCTTCCACTTCCCTTCAATGACAGTTCCTGACACAGGCACTTAAGGGTGATCAGTCTTCGTCAGTCACGTGCCAGGATGAGTTACCATCTGTTTGGCTCTCCCTTTCCCTGTTCTCCCCCATGCCTGGACTCTTCTTAGAGCTTTTACAAATTCCCACTGTAAAAGTCCTAAACGCCCATGGTGAAAACACCAAAATGTATTAGGAACCTACCAGGCCTCCCCAGGCCTACCTCTTTGAAGTCACAACTGCTAACATTCACGTATTTCCTTCCAGAGTTTGTACGTGAGCGTAGTTTTAAATAGTTAAGACCACACAATGTACTCAAGTTTATAACCAGCTTTTATCATCTAACCTTAGGTTGTATTTCCCCCACCACTAAATACTCCTAACAAGTATAATTTTAAGAGCTGCATAATGTTCCGTTATTGGAATATACTTTACTCGATCAACTCCCCTACGGTTGTCTAGTTAAACCGTGTCCAATTTGTTTTCTATTATGGGTAATACGGAGATTAGCAAATTTGTATACAACCAAGCCTTTTTACGTAGCAGACTATCTCCTTTAGGATTAATTCCCAGAACAGAAGCTTCTGGGTCAACACTATGTAGTTTCATGGTTGTTAATATGTGTTAGCAAAGAGCTTCTCAGAAGTAGTAAGCCCATCAGCACTACCACCAACATAGCTGGTTTAACCAGACACCACAGGGGTTAGTCCTGGAGTGCTGTAGCCTGAGCCTCAAGGCTTTGGACGTGTGGGTGATCAGGTCTTACAAGCTTCCCTGAATCTGGGATGGGGCCCTCGTGACATCTGAGATGGGGTCTTGGCGTCTTTGGCCAGCTCTGTCTGTTACAAAGTTCTCATTTGAATTTGGGGACAATTTGGGACACGAAGCCAAGTGCCCCACCTTTTTACCTCTTGCTTTTTCCTCTGCACCCTGCAGCTTTCTTGTGTGTTCCCAGGCTGCGCGCCCCTCAAATGCCCAAATCTGGAACTTTATGAACCAAAATGAAACCCACCTCTAAGCAAGCCAGGGGCAGGTCCCTCCCAGGACTCTGGCCTTTCTTTTTCTCCTCGGTCAGATAGGCCACGCCAAATCTTCGTGCCTCTACGCCACTTACCAGAGTAACCCCTCTTTCAGAAGCCACTGTGGGTATGGGCAGTGGTGGCCCCTCAGGGGGACTGCTGTCCAGCTCTTCTGCCACAGTCCCAGACAGGGACTCCTCTCTTGCGGCTGCTGCCAGGTCCTCCTCATCACCAGAACCCTGAAAAGCAAAACCAACGAGAGGAATCACCTCACCTGGCCTGTGACGCAAGGCGCAGCAGGCTGCCCGAGAGTCTGGGTGACTGTCATTCTACGGTGCTAGTCCAATTTCACAACACTTGCTTACCTTCAACCGTCGTTACGCGCGACATGGTCACAGAAGCCCAGACTCATAATCCCCCTCCCGTACGTGCATCTCCTCCTTCCCCCTGTCCCTAGCAACCCCTTCCGACTTGGCAGCACTCTGAGAAGATTCTTGGACAAAGCTAGGAAGTAGCAGGGTTGGGCACCTGATTCCCTGACCTGCTTCCAGGCACCTTGCCTCCCTCCAGTGGTGCCGACCCGTGATCTGTGCTCTCCCAAAGCTGAGTGTTGCATTCGCCGCTGGGGAGGCCAGCGACTGTTCCTGTCTCACGACGCTGACCCCTCTCCCTGCTGCGAGCCAGACAGAAAAGGCTAGGAGACACTTACAGAAGCGACTGCTTGCTCAGGGGCCGCTGTGGGTGTAGGGGGAACCAGGCCACCTGTGGGGAGCCTGCGAGTCTCCTCTTCCTCAGAAGTGCTGAGGGGCACTTCTGCTGCAGCTGCTGGTGTTGTGAACATTCCTTCACCGACTGCACCCTGAAACAAAAATGGCATGAGAATCGGCCACCTCTTCTACCCCCTGGTTCAGCAGGCATGTGACTGCAGGGAAGCAAGCCGCTGGGCCACCAGATAGATAACTCACATGGCCACAGCTCTGCTCATGCAAGACCCGCCTTGGCCCACAGAGCCCTGGAACCCTGGGCTGGAGCGCGTCTCTCAGGTCAGTGCACCCATCCCCCAGACGCCCCTACAGCACACCGCTGCCGAGGGCTTTGGCCGGATAAGTGTCCGACGAGCCACCCAGGCGCTCCTGGGATGGTACTTCCTTGACAAAGTGGTATTTGAGCTGAACTCTGAAGGATCAGCCAGGATCAAAGGCAAAGCAGAAGGAAGAAAAGGTTCTAGGCAGAGAGGAGAGGGTCCAGGCACATTCAAGAAACTGAAGGAAGGTCAGTGAGGTGGGAGCACTGAGAGCCAGGGAGACAGTGACCCAAGATGTGGTCACCAAGGCTGGCCAGGCCAGACCCTGAAAGGCCCTGTGGCCAGGTTGGGGAGCAGAGTCTGCAGTGAGGGCAAGGGGAAGCTCCAAGCAGAGGGCTGCCCCCACAGGAGGAGTCGGGGCCGGGGACGGAGGAGGTGAGGCAGGGGCCTCAGCCATTGTCTGGACTGGGGACGTGCTGTCTCAGTCCACAGGCTGGCACTGGGGAAGGGCAGAAGGAGGCAGGTGCATAGTGGATTTAGGTAGAAAAATCAACAAGACTTGATGCTTGACGGGATGTGGGGAGTAAGGAAGACAGAAGAGAATCCTGGATTGGCCAACTAGGGGGCAGTGGTCCCAATCATTTGAGGTGGGAACACAAGAGTGGACACGAGGAGTCCAGGTTTGAGTCTGAGTCTGAAGAACTTGCAGGACCGCCACTGTAATGACATTTTAGGGATAGGCCTGCCAGGTGTCCTGAAATATTTGCATCCCGCCTTCACGGGAACGTTATCTCCATGCTGCCTAAGGAGAGGGTTGAGGAGGCTTGGCCCTGCCCTTGACCCTGAACTTCCTTTGCCCTCTGACAGCCCATGCTTATGGGCTGCCCACCATCCCCTCTTCCGCTCACATCCAGGCTCCTCCACCCTGGATCCTGCCCTACTGCTGGTGGAGGGAGTGGGGCCCTGGGACCACCCCACCTCGCTGGCTCTCCACCTGCTCCCAGCCTGGCTCCCCACTGGCCTGCTGGGGCTGTCAGCGTGTGCAGTCCCGGGGCCAACAGGGCTCCAGCACACGCGTACCCAGGCCTTGGCCAGCTCCCCTTCAGAGAAGTGCCCCATTCAGGCTCCTCTGGATGTGCTGAGCAGAATGAAGACTGGTCCTCCGAGAAGGTCAGGACCTGCTCCAGCTATGACCTTGACCCTGCGGCACTTGGCACTCCTCACCCGTGTCACCCCTTCCCCGGCGTCCTGGATGGCCGTGGAGAGGGTGGCTCCCCCCATGGGTACACTGCCAGCCTCCACTTCCCCGGCGGTGCTCCCGGGCACCTCGGCCTCCCCAGCTGCAGCGGCTGCCGAGCCTTCTTCAGCATCTGCACCCTGAACAGGAAGACATCGCAAGGGAGCTGTCAGTGGTCCACTGTGGTCAGTGTGGCTGGAGGTAGCCGACAGCCCAGGACCCTCAGGTGCCTGCACCTCCCAGACCTCACCTTGTGCTGATGCCGCGAACGTGGGCACCCATGCAGAAACCCATGCCTCGCGCACCACTGGAGGCGTGAGTCCCTGACCAACGTGCCACCTGTGTGGCTCACCCCATTCCTCCCCGCCACCCTCGGTGCTGCCCACCACAGTCCCTGCCGTCTCCCTTCCGCTACTCCCAGGAGTGGGACTTTCACCGACGCCCAGTCGTGGTGCTGGGGCAAAACCCAGGGTCTCGCAAATGCACAGCCTTCCTTCTCATTAGCGCAGCTGGCTGCCCTCGCTGACCACTTGCTCGTCTCTCTCTCCTTCCACCCCTCCCGCAGCCCTAACCCTGCGCTCCCCACGGTCACCGACAGTCACTGTGGCAGATCCGCTGGGTGCCTTCCAGGCCTTTACTCACTGAGACTCTTGGCAGGATACGACATCGCTGACCAAACCCAGAGCAAGCCAATACCAGCCGTTGCCCGGACCACGACACAGCCTCTGACCCCAGGCCCGGCCCAGGCCTGGCCTCCAGGCTTGCTTCTCCCACCCTTCCTCCACTTTCTCAGTCCTACTCTGACTAGGTCACTAGCCCTTCAGTTACTCCCCACTTCGGAACACATGCCAGCTCCAACTCACGGCTCCCAGGGCCTCAGGGGCCTCCCTGCACCCCCTTGTTCACACATGGACCCTCCTTCCATGTTTCTGTTGATGCCGCCAGGCCTCTGCTCCTGCTGGCCCCCCTCCTAGAGCACCTGTTTCACTCCCAGCTGCCAGGCTCCTTCTAGGTGTCCCCATAGTCTCGCCTTCGGCATTCTTTCCCCAGGAAGGCTTCCAGGACCCCCAAGTCTGGGTTCTGGGCCCTTTTCGGTGCTTCTCCTATTGCACCTCTTACAGCTCTGTGCCCAGGAACTGGTCCATCGGATTTACCTGTGCCCAGCATAACACATCACTCTGCAAACATCTGCTGAATGAGGCAACAAGACCCTTCAGCCTCCAAATCAGTGTCTACTCAGACTTGATCCCACAAGGCCATCACTCTGCATTCTGCCGACCGATAAGGAAGACCTGAGATGCCCACCCTCCCCCAGAAACGGCATATGCTCTGAGCTACTTACCAGAGTGACCCCTTCCCCCATGACCTCAGTGGACAAGGAGAGGGCTGGCCCCCCAGTGGGCACACCGCTGGTCTCTGCTTCCCTGGCAGTGCTGGTGGGCACCTCAGCCTCCCCGACTGCTGCTGTGGCTGCCAAACCTTCTTCGGCATGCACACCCTGAAACAAAAGCATCATGAGGGACCATGTCACTTGGGCCCATGGCTCCGATCAGTGTGCCTGTGGCTGGACAGAAAAGACTGCTCACACCCCTCTCTCCATCAGCTTGCATTTCTGTAGCTTCCTTCTCTCAAGGCACTTTCTTATCTATGACGTCACCCCAGCCCCACGACAGTCCCAGAATCACAGAATCCCAGGGACAGGAGAGGTCGCAAGGCAACTGTATCTCCTGTTTGATTCCAAGCATCTGTTTGCACATGCCCAGTGACCAGGAGATCCCTGTCTCCTGAGTCAGCCTGCTCCAGCTCCAGACACGTCTATCTAGACACATCTGTCTCCCTGTGACCTTCCCTATGTGCCCGTCCAGAAGCCCTAAAAACAAGTTGAATGCCTTTGCCCCTGATGGAGATTCAGAGATATGCAGGCAACAACTCTGTCCTCCCCAGCCTTCTCCAGACTGAACCCCATGATTCTTCTCTCTCTAGGACTCAGTTTCCTTGGGAAAAGCATAACCTTCTCTGGAGGTTACACAGCAGATGCATGAAATGGAAACAGCAGTTTGGCTGCTAGGGTCATCAAACTATGTTTTATCTCAGTTTCCAAAGGTTTTTTTTTTTTCCTCTTAAATTTGAGGGGCACGGGGGTCATTCTGTTTTGTTTTGTTTTGCAAAAAGTAGCTCTTTACCACTAAGCTTATCAAGGTTAGATGTCCTTGCTGTAGGACTTTTAAGGGGTCTATAATAAGGAGGATATAAAGTGGAGAATTTCCCAAATGTATCTGACCACAGAACTTTTTCCTACAACATGAATCCTTGCAGAATTATTGTCTCCCCCCCAAAAAAGAGAGAAAAGATGATGTCACAGATTTTTAAATGAGACTCTTTCTGCCTCAAATTCAGCTGAAGTCCCAAAGGGCTTACACTAAAATACAATTAAGAACAATTAATTCATTGTACAATTAAGTACACTTCACATGCTAGAAGCAGGAACCAGACCACTTGTGTGGGATGTACTAAGAGACAAGAAAGGAAATCAGTTCTATCAGGGTTAGCCTGCCACCTGCCTCTGGGCTATAGAGGAAAAGGTAAAGAATTCCTTTGGAGACAATCATCAGTGTGCTGGGACTCTCTCCTCCCTTCTCCCCACTACAAACCATTTGTGAGCTGGATATGTGTTACTTGGAATTTGGGAGACAAAGGGACTAAATTTTAATATTATGCTGGACTGGACTTTGGAAGTAGCTGTGAAAATAGGTTATTATCAGGTCATGACCGGGAGAGCATGAGAAGTGTCTGAGTTTCATCCCAGGATAGCAGAAAGAATGAGCTGAACCTGTGGATTTTTAGCAGAGGTTGTTGTGAGAAGAAGACATTTGCTTTAATTTCACACCTTACTGTGTCTAGCATTTAAAAAATTGGCTTTGCAGGTGTAAAAGCCAATTACATAACAATGGTGGACATGCACGTGTGCAATCATCAATCTGGTTCTGTCTTAAAGGGGCTCCAAAGGAAAAGGCTGTGTGTCTTCACAAATGAGCAGGAGGGAGGTGGGTACTGTGGTGAGGAGCCGGCACGCATCCCCCGGGGAAGGTGTGAGGACCAGCTTGTGCTGCACCTCCTCCCCCTGTCTTGGTGCTTCCCTGGAGAGCCTCCTGGGCCCTGGTCTCCTCTCTTCTGTACCATGATGTTCAGCGAAAACCCTCTTGATTCTTTACCATGCCTAACACAAGTCACCATCAAGTCTGAAATGAGCAAACAAACTTACTGACTTAGCAAATGAAATTTACCATTCACTCACCTCTTCAGAGACATGAATGAAGGCCCCATCCCCAGAGCCAACATCTGTAATGGGGGCACCGTCCATAGTATGAACTCCCTCCAGTGTGTCATTCAGGACCTCACCAGACCCTACAGAAGCAGGCATTCTGTAATTGATAACTGCACTTTGTAATCTTGGAAAAGAATGAAGTATCTTTTTACCTATTAACTTGAAAAGATGTCCATAATACAGGATTAAGAGGGGAAAAAACCAAGTTGCAGAAAAAAACCACGTTGAAGGGCAGTATCGCACCGTGCTTCGATCACAGGCTCCGGCAGCACCTGTGGGGTGGGAACCCGGCTTTGCCGCTTACTAGGAATGTGACCTGTGGTGAGTCATTCAACCGGGGCCTCAGGTTCCTCATCCATAAATTGGGAACAACAATTCCTATTTTACAAGGTTGTTTGGAAGGTTACGCGCTACAAGGATTAAATAAGTTAATACAGAAAAAGCATTGAGGACAGTCCCTAAATAGAGTTAGCAATTTAGTTAGCCATTCATAAATCTTCACTGTCAGTGTGGTTCTAAGTGTGTAAAGGGAAAAATAACTATTTGAGTATACAAGTTTTATGATCATTATATATATAATCATCACTATATAACTAACACAATTATTAAATAACATTTGTAATATATAGATACATATGTGTGTGCAGATAAACCACACAAAGTTGGCTAACCCACAATGCTTACTACTGGTTTCCTCCAGAGGATAGGAAAGGAAATTACTATTTTGGAGGGTTCATACAACTCTGCATTGATTGAACTGTTACCACAAGCACATAACTTTTTTACAATTTAAAAAACCAGTGGGGGGCACCTGGGTGGCTCAGTCGGTTAAGCGTCTGCCTTCGGCTCAGGTCATGATCCCAGGGACCTGGGACATCGAGTCCCACATCGGGCTCCCTGCTCAGCGGGAAGCCTGCTTCTCCCTCTCCCTCCGCCTGCTGCTCCCCCCACTTGTGCTCTCTCTGTCAAATAAATAAATAAAATCTTTAAAATAAATAAAAATAAATAAATAAACAAGTAGAGTCTTAAAGCAAAGAAAAAGAAATTATACTAATATGAATGTATGCCTGTCCCATGCAGTACCTCACTTAATCTTCCCGCTAGCCCATCTGCCCTACCCACAAGGACCGTCCCACTGCCTGACAGCTGGGGGAGCAGAGCCAGGACAGGAATCCCGCGTTTTCAGGCCGCCCACTATCACCCCGTGGCATGTGTGTGCTACTCTGATGTGCACATTAGCACTTTATTATGATTTACCCCATTTTGCTGAGGAGGAACAGGGTCCCACAGAAAGTAAGTGACTTGGAGGGGCCCTGAAGCCAGGTCAGCCTGTCGCCGTGTCAGGCCATATCCACCCATGCTGTACTAACGCATGTCCCACGGTGAGAACTGTGTGGGCAGGGGAAGATGCTGAAGGACCCCTCCCGGCATCACCACTCTCTCTTGTCTTCCCGGATCTGGCCACCAGAGGGTGCTGTGCAAACAACAGGCCAGACCCCATACCTCTGAGTCCCCACTCCTTGGAGGATGTTAAGTTGGGGGGTGCAGGGAGGGGTGCCCTGGGCCAAGATGGTGTCAGGAAAGCTTGGAATAAAACTACTAGGTAGCTTTCCCTAGAAGGGGACAGGGCTCAGGGTTCAGGCCCCTTTCTCCTCACCATCTGGGCTGTCCACCCAATAAGAAGAACAGGAACACTTCAGCAAGCTCTGTTGTTTCTGTTTGGCCTTTTCTCTGCCAGTAAAAGAGTCTGGCTGATCGCAGGAAACAGACGAGCGGTGCTTGGATCTCTGTCCCAGTCTGCATTTGGCTCCCACCTCCTTTGCACTCACCCCCCCAGTCTAGGAGAAGCTCTTGCCTGGCCCTGCGGCCTCTGCCCGCTCCTTGCCCCTCCTCAGAGATCCTAATTCCACCCCGGAGAACAGCCTTCATAATTCATAAACCACTTTCACATCCCTGGGAAGGGTTTAATCCTCTAAACTACCTGGGAGGCAGGGACTGTGAACCCTCCAGGGGGCAGGTAAAGACCCTGAAGCTTGGGGCGCCTGGGTGGCTCAGTCGGTTAAGGGGCTGCCTGAATTCAGCTCAGGTCATGATCCTGGGATTGAGCCCCACATCGGGCTCCCTGCTCAGCAGGGAGCCTGCTTCTCCCTCTCCCCTACCCCTGCTCATGTACTATCTCTCTCTCTCAAATAAATAAATAATCTTAAAAAAAAAAAAAAAAGAATCTAAAGCTTGGAAATATTAAGCAATGTGCCCCAGGCCCAAGAGCAAATAGGTGGCTGAGCAGAGCTTTTGTCCAAACTGTCTGCTCTGTCCCCAGTCTTCCCCGGCAACACCCTGACTCCGTGCTTGTACTATGACTGTATGAAATTATGATACAAATTTTTTCCTATTCAGTACTGTATACCTGCTCTCACCCACAGACTTCTCAATTTAGTTGTTAAAATAACATGCATTTACTGATGGCAGAAGTGAAAAGAAGAATGATACATATGATTACAGAAGGCTTGTTAAACACAGAAGTAAAGAAAGAAAAGCCACCCACAATCCTACCACCCAGATAACTACTTAGAACATTTTGTTGTCTATTACTCTCTCTCTCTCTCACATACACACACACACACAACACACACACATACACCACATACACACACTGCTCCAATATAAATAGATATAAATAATATATTCAAAGTTAGGGCTACAGCACACATAGAGTTTTGAAATCTGCTTTTTTCGTGGAGTATAGCACGAGTCCGTTGCTGGGTCATTACATCTTCTGCGTCACCAGCATCAGGGCCGTACCTATACATGAAAGACAACTTGCCCACCCAGTCTTTCCCCCAGGCCGAGTGGGTTTTTGTCCTTGTTTTCTGCCCTGCATTTTGGCGCTCTGGCACGAGCAGTAACCTCGGTCTGAAGCTGCTGCCCTTCTGATAAAGGGCAGGAAGTGCAGACCTGTCTCAGCCTTGGACACATGTCACGCTGCTGCCTGGGGGTCACAGCAGATCTTGGGTTTTGACCAGGTTGTCCTCTGCACACGTCGGGGGACAAGGGTCAGGGGCAAGAGCCCTGGATGGGGAGCCAGGGGGCCAGCACTCCCCCTGAGCCTGCCGTTGACCCGTGGGTGCCTGCCTGTCCCTCTCTCTGGCCACCTGTTTCCCGTGCGTGCCCCACAGGAGTTCTGATGACCTGATCTTATCCTCTGAGAGTCAGGAGTTTGCAGCTGAAGCTGGAAAGGGATTCTGGAGTCGGGCCTGGGCACATGGTCCGTCCCACCACTCACTAGCTGTGTGACTGTGGGCATGTCACTTACCTTTTCAAGCATCATTTTTTCCACCCATAAAATACTGGCCAATAATACCAACCGGGAGATGGACTGTCAGGATTGGAGATGAAGTAGGTGAACACTTGGCAAACAGTAGGTATTTCATTAACAGCAACAATTACTGCAAGCTTTTCTGTTGGAACTCAAGCCCTTCCAGAGTCCAGGGTTAAAAGTGCAAGTATCAGGGGCGCCTGGGGGGCTCAGTCGGTTAAGTGCCTGCCTTTGGCTCAGGTCATGATACCAGGGTCCTGGGATCGAGCCCCACATCAGGCAGGAAGTCTGCTTCTCCCTCTGCCTCTGCCTCTCTCCGCTCTTGTGCGCACATGTTCTCTCTCTCTCTCTCTCTCAAATAAACAAATAAAATCTTAAAAAAAAAAAAATTTCAAGTATCCAAGTTCAAATGCAGCTCTGCCATTTACAAGCCAAAGTGCCCCAGCTTGGTAACCTAACTTCTCTGTGACATGATTTCCCCATCTTGTCTATAAAATGAGGATGGTTATAATTCCTTCCTCGAAAGACTGAGGGGAAGGTGAAATGAGAGGCTCTATGTGGCATATGTCACACAGGCTGGGCACACAGGAATCACTTCATAAAAGACCACTGTGGATGAAGGCGCTTCGGGGACTTGCCTTGCTCAGGGCTTCTGTGCACGACGACACTCAAGTCGGTGGTTTCCGGAGTCCCCTCAGGTACAGGCTCGCCAGAAAGCTCCGCATCCTCAGAAGGAGGCGATGGAGTTGGAGGTGTGTTTATGGGTTCAACTTCTGCTTCTTTAGACTGAAGGGAGGGAAAACAAGAGCTAAAAACGAGAGCTTACTTGGGAGGAAAGCAGAAAAAATGGCAGTGATTTTCACTGGAGGAAATAATACATCCACAACACGTTGAACAAACCCAGAAAAATGCCTGGACCTGCCTATTATATCCGTAGGCTATCACTGAACCTCCCAGGACCTGAAAAAGGTGCATGCTAGGGGTAATTAAATTCTGTTCTGTTTACAGTAAGGCTCTGCTCATCTTGGCTGAAGCTCAAGCACAAGGACCCTGCATCTCGGACCAGCACAGAGGAGATGCCCAATAAAGATCTCTTAGATGAGGGAATGAATGAGTAAACAAATGAATGAACCAGGCTGTCCTCAGTAAAAACCATATAAATCCAATCCCAGATGTGAACTGCATGCCTATGAAATATAAGATGGGTGTGATTTCCTTCCAAGGAAACTTCAGGATCTGGGCAGCTTTTCCAAAAGCAGTCAGTGTCTTAACTAAATTTACCAAGTAGAGAAAAATGAACAGACAAAAGCCCCCAACAGTTGGAAACACAGAGCAGCTTCAAGATCTAGGCAGAAATCCTGATGGGGGGGCCACAAAGGTCATGACATCATCCCTAGAGCCAGGATCAGGTAGCAGCTCCTAAGCCCAGGGCTTGGGGATGTTCAAACAGTCTCATCCCTTTCTGAGCTGAAGGAGTTGCAGGTGGTGAACGGAAGGATCCTGCAGACCAGTGTTGGACCTGTGGTATGAATTAGAAACAACTCAGCCACTGAGATTTTTAGGGCTGATTTTTGTTATAGTAGCATGACTCGCCTAGCCTAATAACAGAAGTTTATTTCCTTAATATCAGAATCTAGCATACAAACAATAAGTCTCTGGTCCATCAGAACAGAGGGGATTCTTATGGGCACCATAACTTGGGATTCAATGGTTCAGTTCTTACAATCAAATTTAGGTCAAATCTCTGCACTCCACTTACTGGCTACTTTTTACTGGGCAAGTCATATAACCTTCCTCCTTTGCAAAATGGGACAACAGTGACTACTCACAGGGTAGAAAACACATGGAGGAGCTCAACACAGAGCCAGGCCCATAGAATGAACCTACGTATTATTATTATTATTCACATCACTGGAATTTTAAATTTTTGAGAAAGAACAACCCCTATTGAGGCACCCAGAGTGCTTTTCTCTGGGTGTTGGTATTAAAGGTGACTGCTTTATCTTTTTTGCTCACCTGTAATTGCAGTTTTTCCAATAACGAGTATGGAATATTTATGTATGAAAAAGAAAATATAGGTTATTGTACTATAAAATCTCCAGGGTAGAAGCAGGAATGGAAGGCTCCAAGAAGTTGGGACTTCAAGAATGAGGGGAGTTACAGAAGACAGGGATGGAGGGAGGCGCTGGTTAAGAAGGGACACAGCATTGTCAGGGCCTGGCTACCTATGCCTGGCAAGGGTTCGAGGGTTCAGGGAAGGAAGTGGGAGACAGAGCCGGGGTGGCAGAGAGCGGGGAGGCCAGTTCTTTGGTGAGAAGTCTGGCCTTGGACCTGGGGCCTTCCTGGGTAGCATGCTCAAGAGAAGTGTGTGCTTTGGGGAGTTCACCCTGGCACCAGTGAGAGCATGGATTTGAGGGTTGAGAGTTGAGGTTTAGGTCAGGAGACCAGGAGACTGCATGACAGAGGACCAGCGAGGCTAGAACCAGGGCGGGCAGTGGGAGCAGAGAGCAGGTGCCACCACCGGAAGTCGAAGTCGTGAGGAACTCCACGCAGGCTTACCCGCTCCTCCCCGACTGCGCGGTGCCCCAGCAGGGTGGTAAGAGCTCCACCCCAGGCAGTTCCTCTCCTCTCCCTTCAAGGAGCAGGGGGCACTCTGCCGTGGTTCTTGGAGGACATCCCTGCTGGTAAGCTGACCCTTGGTGGTTCAGGCCAGGTGTCTTGCCTCCAACAGGTGGCCATTGGTTTTCAGGGGTTAGTGTGGATGTGGAACCTGTGTGGCTGATGATGAAATGGGACTGTCAAGTCTCAAGACTTTGTATTAAAAGTGTAGAGGTTTGCTGAGCCTCTCTCTCATTCACAGAGTTATTCATTCCACAGGTATTTCCTGAGGCCCTATGGTGTGCCAGGTCCTTCGCTGGCCCCCAGGGATACAAAAATGAAGAAATAAGACAGAGTGTCTACCCTTACATTGCTGGACTATGGGGAGACCCAGACTCAGACACAGTGTGGTTGAATGTGGCGCGTGGGACCGCAGAGGTGAGAGCCGAGTGCAGGAGGGAAGCTCCAACAAGGGATCCTGAAGGAGAAGTTAGGAATTGGCCAGGTAGGGTGGGGGTGCGGGCAGGGCCCTCCAGGCAAACAGACCACCGGGGCCAAGGCCTGGACTAAGAGATTACAAATGTTTATGGAGTCTGGGAAAACTGTGAGCATTTAGGTGTGGATGGAAGAGAGTTCCCGGCTGTGGATCAGAATCACCTGCAGAGCTTTCGTAAGTACACTTTCTTGGACCTCACTCCAGACCCCCTGAAGCTGAATGTCCAGGTAGGTATGCAGCCCAGATGCAACCGCCCCCACCCCCACTGCCCCACCACCCCCCCGCCGCCAAGACACACACGCAGTTTTGATGCACAGCCAGGGTTGAGAACCATAGGGACATTAATTCTAACTAAGCATGATAGAACTTTCCAGAAATGGAAAGGTGTGTCAACAGAAGCTGACTTAGGGGGAAGCATGGGGTAGCAGGGACTCCTGCCCTAAATGGGGAAGAGGTGAGGAGGGCTGGCTTTTTAAGTCCCTGTCTGCTCAGGCAGCCCATGATTCAGTTTGCTGGTCATGGCTTGTGTCTTGCAGGGTGGCAGGTTGGAAGAGGAGAGGACAGGGAAGTGAGATTCATTCCAAGAGAGAAGCCAGACAGAGATGGGAGGGGAATGTCTGCATGAAGAGGGAAATTCCCCTGTCCTGGAGGGGTGGCCACGAGGGGGAGCCACGGAGCCCCTCCAGGAGATGGTGCCGTGCCTGACAGAGCCCTACACCCGAGCTGGAGACCTGGCTCTGCCACCTCCAGGCTGGGCAGCCCTGAGGACAAAGCTCTTCACTCCTCTGTGCTTCAGTGCCTCCTCTGAGGAATGAATGGAAAAGCACCTCCTGGCAAAAAGCAAAGTGAACGCTCTGCAGGAGCCATGCCGGGAGCCTGAGAACGGGACTCTGATACCAGGAACAGACCAGTTAGCATGAGGACCCACAGCCCAGAGAGAATTCTGTTAAGGACTAAGGGCAACCACAGCGATTTGGCATGCCCTGCGGCCCCAGTCTCCAGCCAACCAGGAAGCAGGTGGTGGGAAGGGGGCCTCAAGAGGAGCACGGCACTCTAGCGCAATAAATTTACCAGTGACGAGCGACACCCACCACCACGCACCGAGGGCTGCCGTGTGCCGAGTGCTGCCCGTGTTTCACGGGGGCCATGTAACTTGCACCAGCCTGTGATGTAGGCGCGCCGCATCTCAACCCAGGAGGAGGAAGTTACTGACTCTCGGTCCACAACGAGTAAGGGGCCGAGCTGAACCACACCTGGTGGGACTCTGATACGCACCAGTTCTCTTAACACCACTGAGGACAGTGGGGCTGGGAAGTCTACGAAAGAAAGTGTTCAGGGGGGCCCCAGGGGCCACTGAGTCCCTCAAATGTCTTTTCTCTTCTCCAGATCCTGGAGGGATGTATTCCTTACTTCCTCCCGGCTGCAGCGTCCTCGTGCACCTGCCCCGCGTCTGCAGCACTGTGGCCTGAGGTCCTGACTTCACCACTGCCTGACCCTGGCAAAGCCGCCCTCTTCCCTGAGCACCTGCCACCACCTCCCGTGCAAGGCTGTTGCAAGGATTAAATCAAGTCACGTCTACACAAGCACCAGGCCCACAGCGAGTATCGAGAAATGTTGGTCCTCTTCCATCCCCTCCCTTTCTCGGCCCCTGTCCAGAGCTGCCCAGCTTCAATGCCTCCTCCACCAGAAAGTCCTCCCTGACCAGTCCCTGCTGCCACGATCATCTCATGCTCTCAAACCTCACTCCCCTTTCCCGTCCCTCTCATGAGGCCACCATGTGTTACTGGCGTCTCTGCCTGAGCTGGACTCAAGCCTAGCTGTGAACTGGTACACTGGGGGACAGCATCAGGCTAGAAGGCCCAAGGGACCACCGCTCTGTGCCCTGCTGCAGGTGCCCTGCACACGCCACCGGGGGGGGGAGGCCAGAGCTGTGGCACACAGGGTTACAACACTGCCCAGAGCAGCCACCATCACCATCACCTCCCAGACCACCTTGGACCCTTGCCTCTTCCATCTCATCTGCCCTAGAATTGGCTGTGATCCTAGGGATGAACCTCTGCAACACCGCCCAGGCCAGAAGCACAGGGCTGTAGCCTGACCCCTGGATGAGGCATCAGGGGGCCCATGCTCTAGCCTCAGCTCTGCCCAGGCACCCAAGGGCCAATCTTGTCCCCTGTCTGGGCCTCAGTTTGTCCATCTGTACAAAGGGCAGTTTTCTATATACCTCTGAACAGAAAGAGGGTAACTTTAAGCACCACCCCCTGCACTAACAGACTACGGTTCTATTCTGCCCCACCCAAACCTCTGTCACCAGAGGTCTATAATCTATAGCCTCTGCCTTATTCCCTTGCTTTCTTTTATCAGAGATGAGTCTATAGAATGTGCTAGACCAGTCAAGGAGATTGCTGGGCTTCTGTGTTCAATGACTCAGACACTGCTGGCTGTTTTCGTTAAAAATGGGCTCCAGCCGTCCCCACAGTCTGACTCAGTGCTTTCAAAACCACTTCCTTGTCTGGGCCACAGAGTACATTCCCAGGAGGGAGGAGGCCCCCATCACTGTGAGGATGGCCACCTTTCTCATGGGGCCAGAAGGGAGCTCCTGGGAAGACTGCATCTCCCAGGAGCGGGGGCCCTGCCTTCTTTCTCAGAGCCCAGAGCCCAGAGCAAATGTGACACCAGCCACCATTCAGGGCCACTTCCCTCGTGCTAGACACCAGGCCCTGACCCTGCACTGCTTCATTTGACCCTCCCAAAACATCCTTGAGACAGGACACTCATTAGCAGGAAGAGGAGCTGAGGCTCAGAGAAGCTGAGTACGCTACCTAAGCTCACAGAGCCGGGAGGCAGGGCAGCACAACGTTTGCCTTTGGACAGTCCTCTTGCGGCCACGGCACAAAGTGGCCCAGAGATAACAGGCACGGGGCTGTGGCCAAATGCCTTTGGCCAGGACTTTCCTGACCTTCCCAGGTGAGCCCACAATTGAAGCCACAGATCTAAGAACAGAGATATCAGGCCCAGGCATGCTCCATTGACTCTGGGCCCCTAAAAGCTGGCCGAGAAGGTACTGTGCTTCTGTGTGAGAAGAAGGACTCACCGGGGCTTGAGTGTAGGTGACAGCTTCCAAGATCTCAGCGACGCCCTCTGTTTCCAGAAGCCCGCTGGCTTCTCCTGAAGCCTGTGTGAAGACAAATCATGCCAGGAGAGGAGAAGTCACAGACGGTCATTCCTTTGGAGAAACTGCATGTGTGTGTGTGTGTGTGTGTGTGTGTGTGTGTGTGTGTGTGTGTAAGAGAGAAAGAGACGGACAGAGCCAGAGAGAGGAACTGAGAGAGAACACAGTGGCTATTCTTTTCACTGTTCCTTCCATATTTTATTGCTCATGCCGATGAGAAACTACAGTCAATATATAGTCTCTCTAACATACCCACTTTCATTGTGTCCAGGTCCCTTCAATCTCTGCCAGAGGTACTCCCATTTGCATGGCTATCAAATGAATGAAGTTGGAGAACCATGACATTTGGAAAACATCTTCCTATTGCTACCTTATCTTCATAATGAGCCGTTTAATCTAGATGAAAGTACGGTCTCCACATGTTCGCTGGAGGGAGCCTGGGGGCCATCATTTTGTAAGTAATACCTTACTCTTGGACTCTTGGGCATCTTCTACCTTTCCAGTACTAACAACACTGCAGAAAGAAGGGTATGAATATACGTAAGATTTCCCTCCTCCCAGCTTCATTGGAACATCAGGCCAGGATCATGGCCTCAGGGAGGGCAGACATTCTTACAGAGCCAAATTCCACCTCTGAAGGGCTCTCCCACTAAACAGGCAGCATTTTTTTCTAAATGAATGAAATCAACTTATGCTTTGCTTTGGGGTTAATACCCCCCCCCAAAGAGAAACAGAAGCTCTAGGAATATGGCACGCTGTGCTCCCCTCTGACTTTTTGCATCAAGCTAAGGCTTCTGCTTGAAACACCTTTTCTCCCTCATCCAGCTGATACTTGCTTGTCATTGGTCAGGTATCAGCTCCTCCCTTGCCTACTCTGGTTCCTCTTCTTTCACCTTCACGTCCCCCACCCAACCCAGAGAGCTTGGGTTTGAGGACCTCCCGGGTTCCAGTCACCCCTAGCTCTGTCACTGCCTCTGGGCGTGTAAGTGTGTGTGAGCAGCTTGAGGACAGAGACAGTTGCCAATGTGTCTCGTTATTTCCAGCATCCCCCAGGACTGTCACCTAGGAGGGACTCGGTAGATCCGTAGATCCTGGGGGGGGGGGAGGGAGGCGGAAGGGGAGGGGGACATGGAAGGACCCATCTTTCTTCCCTGCCTGCCACTCCATCCCCAGCTTAGGAACAGATTCATTTGCCAAGCATAAAAGCTAAATTTAGGCTCGTTTTTATAGGAATTTACACTCATGCCTTAGAGTTTTAACTTTGATTTTAGAATCCTGACACCCTTTCTTGGCAGGAAGTCTGGAAATCAGGCCACGGACTGCCACAGCCACGGAAGAACCTAACACCTTAGAAGAAACGCAACCCACCCCCGACCCCCCACCCCCCCAACAAAAGAGATGGCGGAAGCTCTTAAAAAAAATAAATAAATAAAGCCAAAAAGCCCAAAATAGGACTTGAGGCAGCGCCTGACAAGTTGAGAGATTTTAGAGACTCCATGACGTTGGGAAAGAGGAATTGCCTGGGCGTCCAGCCGTCCCGGGCCAACTGGCGGCTGGGGGCAGGGGCAGGGGAGATGGGGGCTCACCGAGGATTCTTCGGCTTCACACATCTCCTCGGGGATTCTGGGGTCAGGGTGGACGGTGAGCTGCTGTATGGAGCCCTGGGGGAAGAGCACAGGGTCAGAAGCCACCACTTGCTCGCCCACAGCATGACCACAAGTGGCAAGCATGATTGTCCTTGGAACGGAGACCAGGCCACCAAGAGAGAGGCCAGGTGTGAGAAATGTGCTGCCTGGGGCCATGACAATGGAACAAGCCACCTCTTGGCCTGCTCTCATTTACAGGGCCCTCCTTGGGCCAATGTAATATGAGCTCCACTAGCTGGAGAAGCCCCTGGGGAGTACTGTGTTCAAAGCACAGACTCACAGCAGCTTCCTAACTGGTCCCAGGTCCCCAGCCTGTAAGTGGGTACCCTAGGATGCCTGTCTCCCCTCTCCCAGAAAGTGTCTTTCCCCCGTAGCTCGAAGCTCCTTGGCTGGCAGGCCTCATGTGAAGAAGAGTGGCCAGCCAGCCTCCCTGCCTCCACTCCTGCCTCCAATCTCCACCCCCGACAGTTCGTTCTCCATGATGCTCCCAAAGTGAGTGTGGAAAAATTGTAACTGGATTTTAACTTCTTCAGATTCACTCATTGTCTCCCGCTGTACTACAGGTAAACCCAAACTCTTCCCCTGCTACCATCCTGTATCAGTTAGCTAAGGTATCAGTTAAGTATGTGTGCTGACTAGATGCGTAACTACAGTAACTTAGGGATTTTCTTAGAATGGCTTATTCCTAAAAGCCTGTTTTGACAGGAGAGTTAATTTTCTGCTATTTTTTCAGGGCACGTTGTCCAAAAGGAGAGAGAGAAACTACCTCTCCCTCTGGCCTTCTAGCTGCCTCCACCTTTGCAGAAATTACTTAAATGCACCTGGTACTCCTCTCCAAAGGTAAAAAATTGCTGAAGAAATAATAAACCTTCCTCCTTTTATAATGTCTTAAAATGCACAAAGAACTTTCACTCAGGCCATCCCACCTGACTCTACCACTCCACGGCGTAGGTTTGCTTATCATCGCCTACAGATAAGAAGACCCAGAGAGGATCAGAGAATCCATGCTCTAACGTCATCAGGCTAAACTGAAAACAGGACTGAAATCTAGGTTTTGGGTCCCAGGAGTACGGCTTTTCCCACTGCACACACATGCCTCTCTGAGGCTATAAGAACAAAATAATAAGAATAGTTGCTTGGGTTGGTTGCCCGGCATCCAGGGGCCTCCCTGATCTGCAGGGCTTGGACTCACGGTGAATCTCTCCAGCCCCGTTGCTCCTGCATTGCCCACAAAGATTCCTGCACTGGGCTCAAAAGCCAAGGGCTGGGAGGACCGCTGGAAGGGGACGTGGCTGTGCTCCTCGCAGTCCACGAGGAGCATCACCTCCTCGCCCTGGACAACCACCGCAAAGCGGGTCCACCTGTGGGTCATCACGGGCACCAGGAAGGCAGCAGCCTCGTGAGACACGTGGGAGCCTGGCTCCGTGTAGTAGAGGATGACCCGCTGGCGGCCATCCTCCACGCCCGAGAGCCGCAGGCCCAGGTAGATGATCTTCTGGAAGGCATCGGTGACAGCAAAGAGTACGCCGCCTCTGTCACTGCTGGGCTTCACCGTGACACTGATGGCAAAGTCCCTGAAGAAGGCAGGTGGGATGAGGGTCCTGGCCGGGCGGCCGACGTTGGCACCAGGCCCGAAGCTGTAGGCTGGGAAGCCACCATAGCCCGTGACAAAGGACACAGATGAGGGCAATGGGACACCGATGAGCTCCGTGAGGTCCAGGTGGCCCTGGGAAGCCAACTCTGCAGGGGAGGGAGACAGAGGCCATGGCTCACACATATATTCTACTGTGCTTGGAAATGGGGAAGAAAGAAAAAGTCCCAAGTGAAATGGGATTCCTCAGAAACCCCACTGTAGTTCCTTAATTACTAGTTCTCAAGCTTTTTTGACAATGACCCACAATAAGAAATGCATTTATATTGCAACCCAATAGGCCCGTGCAACCCAACAGGCCCATTTCAATAATCATGTATCTGTAACATCAAAACAATGTTTCATAAAACATTATCTGCTTTCAGTACTCACCAGGCACTCTGATATTTTCCTTTTGGGAATTCTTTTCCTCTTTTTTTTTTTTAATTTTTTAATTTTTTTAAAGATTTTATTTATTTATTTGACAGAGAGAGACACAGCAAGAGAGGGAACACAAGCAGGGGGAGTGGGAGAGGGAGAAGCAGGCCCTCTGCCAAGCAGAGAGCCCGATGTGGGGCTTGATCCCAGAACCCTGGGATCATGACCCAAGCTGAAGGCAGATGCTTAACTGACTGAGCCACCCAGGCGCCCCCTCTTTTCCTCTTTTATTTTATTAAAAGCATGCTGGAGGGGGTGCCTGGGTGGCTCAGTCAGTTAAGCGTCAGACTCTTGGTTTTGGCTCAGGTCATGATCTCAGCATCATGAGACCGAGCCCTGCGTTGGGCTCCAAGCTCAGTGGGGAGTCTGCTTAGGATTCTCTCCCTCTCCCTCTGCCTCTGTCCACTCCCCTCAAATAAATGAATAGAATCTTTAAAAGCACGCTGGCAACGACCTACTAAATTGATTTCATTACCCACTAGAAAGTCCTGACCTGCAGTTTGGAAACATTTTTAAGTATGTCCTAGAATATTCGCAGACTATACAAGGTTCTCCCATCAACTTACAGATTGTTCCTCATTTCTTTCTATAAAACTGGGTACGTTTGTTTTGTTTGTTTTGAATGAGGTCTACTGTTGAAGTGCCTCAAGGTATGGGGGAAAACTGGGACAAGGTGAAGTGTTCCCAGACCTCAGGGCAGTTGAAATTCACATCATCATCATCATGGACATTCCCTGAGTTCTTCTGTGTGGGGCCCTGCTCTAAACTCTTCACATACATTAGCTCATCGAATCCTCACAACTCTGTACCCTTAGCCTCATTTTACTTCAGGGAGAAGTTAAGAAATTTGCCCTGGGTCAAAGCCAGAGCATCTGACCCCAGAGTCTGAGCGCTTATCTGGCCGAAATCCTAGGGCTCCATTGTGGTGGCCTGGAAAGGCCCCCAGGCTCAGGAGCCTCAATCCGCCCAACCCTGGTACCCTGGGCGTAGGCTTCGGGCTGGCTTGCAGTGATGGGCACCCATTCCTGAGGAGATGCCCAGGATGCCAGCAGTGAGACGGGAAGGCCGGTGCTGGGGACAGGTGGACAGGACCCCTGCGGATACTCAGGACACCTTGGCCTCAGAAGTGAAGCCAGATCCTGAGGATCAGTCCAATGAAGAGGGCTGGAGTGAGTGAGGGTCAGAATTGAGCAGGGTCCTTCCCCAGAGACCAAGGAGCAGAGCAGACATTTGGTGACTACCTGGACTATGGCCAAAGGCCAGAGGACCCTGAGAGTCTGAATGACCACAGGGGACTTGGGTTTGTGTCCAGAGAAGACCCAAGCCATTCAAGGGCACTGCAAGTAAAGCCCCATCTGACAAATCGAGGCTGCCTTTTAGTTTACCAACTTGTCCCTGTCTGACTGGACAACTAATTAGCCAGTGAGTCATTTCACAGCTCCAAGGCTGTGTCTGCCTCTATGTTATGGGCCCCACGAAAATGATTAAAGGAGACCATCCATGTAACCCTGGTAAATACGGTGGTAATGCAATAACCATTCACTACTCTTTCCTTTGATTACATCCACTCAACAAGCCCAAAAGGTTGATGGACAGGGGTTATCAACTGCACTGTGCTGACAAGGAGAGGGAGGCCAAGATGGGGGCCTGGACACCCTGCCTCTGTATCCCCTGAGCTCCCCACATAGAATAAAAATGACCGGGCTTTTCATACGTGATTTTACTTCATCCTCACTGCAGCCCGGGATTAACTGCCATTCTCCCATCCTACAGATCAAGAACCAAGGCTCGGGAAGATGGAGTGACTCCCTGAGGTGACACGGTAAATGGCAGATGTTTTCAAGCCATGAGTGGTCTGACCTCAGGTTGGTTCACTGCCTCAGTCTCTTAAGACGGGGGCTCCCTCCCAGGGGTTCTGAGGGGACCTTGACCTAGTCAGCCTGCCATGGTAATGACTCTTTAGCAGCACGAGGTGCAACTGAATTCTGGGTGGCCCAGGAACTCAAACTTTTTCCTGGAGGATGGGAGCGAGAGAGAGAGAGAGAGAGAGAGAGAGATGCCCTGACTCCAGAGCCCCTCCCCCAGCACCGCCAGAGGAGGCCGCACAACATCAGCAGCTAGCCTGTGTGTGCGTTATGTGTGTGTCACAAAATTAGTACGAAATATTTAGGACCTACCAAAAAGCATAAATGATAATGGGAGACACATACTAAATGTTAAAACGGTCGATTTTATGTATTTATATTTTGGCCCATGATTTTAAAAAGGAGTAAATGAGAGGATTAAATGAAATAGTCTGAGGTGTGGCACTTGCTCAATCATGGTGGAAATCATCATCATCATCATCATCATCACCATCATCTTCGACGTTCAGGTTCTGGAAGGAATCTCAGAGGGCCCCTGATACAATCTCTACCAGAGATGTGTTCACCCCACACTGTCCAGCATGGTAGCCATTAGCCATGCGTGGCTGTTGAGCACTTGAAATGTGGGTCATCCCAACTGAGCTGGGCTGCAAGTGTACCTATGAACTGGATTTCAAAGACTTCTTTTGGACAAAGGAATGTACGATATCTCATTAATCATGTGTCTATGGATTACATGAGGAAATGATAATTTGGGGAAATACTGGGTTAAATAGAATATATTATTAAAATAATTTCTGAAGAACATGATGAAGAACAGGCATGTGTCCACCCCTCTGCTGGAGAAAGTACTGATTCAGCTCTCGAACACTCTCCAGTCCCATTCCCCTGGCCACGCCGCAAAGGCAGCCTCTCTGAGGCATGCAGTGTGCATATTCCCATGCATGTCTTTGTATGTTTGCTATATGAACACGGACGTGCCTGTGACAGGATGTGCTACCACTGTGCATGTCTCTAAACTTCGTGTCAGTGTTGGTATGCCGCGTGGACTCCTCTGACATTCTTTTTTTTCCCACTCGACATTGTATTTTGAAGGTTGACCTTTGTTGACGCATGCGACTCTGGCTCTTTTACTTTCACAACAGTACTCTAGAGCACCAGTAAGCCATACAGAGTGGCTCACTTTTCTGTTGGTGGGAAGGGAGGTTTTCCTGACTATGCAAAACACTACCGCTGTGGACTTCTTACACACATCTCCTGGTGCTTACCTGGGGGGGTGGGTAGTGCAATGACTGGATGCTGTGGGGCTATACACCTGCAAATTCACTGAACGCTGCTACGGTGTCCTCCAAAGCAGGACAAAGTCACCCGTGCTGACTTTTTTTTAATTGGGACATAAGTGATATATAACATTGTATAAGTTTAAGATATACAGTGTGTTGATCTGATCTATTGCTATATTGCAATATGATTAGCACCACAGCTTTAGCTAACACCTCCATCAACATCACATAACTAACATTTCTTTTTTGGTGGTAAGAACATTTCAGATGCCGCTGTGCTCACCTGCAGCATATTCCTACCAACCTTCAGGGGAGGCAGGGAGATGAGCCATGGGAGCAGTCTGCGGGGCTTTTCAACTATAGCGATAATGTTTACTTCTGAAACTAAGCAATATTTACAAATATTCATTGTAGTATTGTTTATAAAACATGTCATGGAAAGTATTTCACAACATTTTAAGGAAAACAATTACCCACCCTCAACAAAAGAGTAAATCTGATCATGTTGGCGCTCTGCTGAGCAGCCTATGGCCACCCAGCCCAGGGCCCTGGGTCTGCAGTCAGCATGGGGGGTGTGGGGCGGCCGCTGCCTCCTGGCTTGAGAAGCCCTTGTGGTCCAACCCAGCTGCTCTCCCTGCTCCCCAGCAAGCCCTGACACAGGTCCTGGAGAGCCCCCTGCTGGGGCAGGTCCTCCCCTCTCCACAGTGAGTGCACTCCCCTCTGTCGCCCACCCCATCTCACCCGTCCCAGAGAATCAGAGCTGATTCTCCATCCAATGCTCTTCCTCTCCAGTTTGCAGCTTGCATTAAAACAGGAATTAATTTTAAGTATGAGAAACCCCAGAAGGCATACATGAAAAGGTTGATAAATCTGGTTAAATTTAACTCAACCGAAATTCTTCAAGTTCTGCATAGCAACAAAAATTCCCAAACTGGTGTCAAATAAAATCCCAAACTGGACAAAAATATTTGCTACATACATCACAGACAACAAACTAGTTACCTTACATACAAAACAGGTGAGCAATAGCCCCATGGAAAAATGGGAGAAGAACAGGGAAAAAGAAGCGTAAAAAAAAAAAAAAAATTAAAATGGCTCTTAAACATGTGAAAAGATACTCCACCTCACTCAGGACAGAAATACAAGTTAAGGCTGTGAAGAGATACCATTTTCCCCTCTCAGACTGGCACACATCAGAATGTCAGACAGTATGCCATCTCGTGCGTTGCTGGTGGGACCACACACTGGTGTAATGTTTGTGGGAGGCTCTTTGACAATAGTTACCAAAATTACAAGTATACATGGGCTCTTTGATCCAGGAATTCTACTTCTGTGGATTCTTTAACAGATAAAGTTACATATGTGAAATATAAAGCATGTATAAGAATTTTCATTGCAGCATTGTTGAAAATGTATCTAACTGTCCATCTTTGGGAATGGTTAAATAAATAATCAGTTTTGATATACCATGAAGCCTTTAAAAAGAGTGATTCCTTAGGTACTAATAGGAAACAATCAATAAGA